CTGTACCACACAGGACCCTTGAACCAGCGCCTGTGCTGTGGCGGGGTCACTCTCAGCCCCTACACCACACTGAACCTTGAACCATAGTACCAGTCTAGAACTGGCTCCTCTGTCATCCCAGGGCTGAAACCAAAAATCAACCAATTTTGGGTTTCCTACCACATCCCACCACACAGGGGCCTGTTCAAGGCCTGGAGCCATGTAGCACCATCAAACTGGAACCACATGGGAGCCAGTCCCAGCCTTCACACCACACACAAAATGGTTCAAGATAAAATATGACACTTTGAAGTTCAGTCAATTCATCGCTTTCATAAGTAATAATTCTACTTAACTGTCATGGAAGGGCATAGGGCACACACTTCCAGCTTGAAACTTAATTACCATGTTTCAAAGCAAGATTTTATTATTATTTTTGGAGACTAGTATATCATATCCCTAAGTATCAATCAAGTCCAGAGAACTTATTCATTTCAAACCCCCATGACTTCATAAAGTTCAGTGGGTTACTCATGTAAGTAAGTCTCCAGGGTTATCCACTAAATAATTGCTATCATGTAATCTTTCATTGCATTAAATGTACAATGACTGTATTTGGGGAAGTTAAGTTAAACATTTCACTCTGCAAGAAAACCCTTTTTTCTCATTTCACAACTGGTAGAGTACAGCACATATAAATTGTCTGTTTCAATTATCTCTAAAATATCTGAGAGAGGCCATTCAGTGGGCAATTTATTATTTAACCCTATTAGGTTCTACTTTAATTAAACTGTCATATTTTCACTTGTGTACAAAAATTCAGTTGGAGACACAGAACTTCTGCTTCCTGTGGTTTATTTCACTTTATATAAAATATTCATCTTTAATGTATTTGCACCAAGCTGCAGATCTGGGAACTCTGCCATCATTATACTTGCTGAAGCAGTTTAGTTGTTGTGCACCAGTTTCCTCTGGTATCTGTACAGCTGTGCTTGATTCTTGGCAGAAAATGTAACAAATTTAGTGTTTCCTCTGGCATTCTTGACAACAACAAAAGTCAACAGTTAAATAGCTCTGTTTTATCCAGTTGCAGCTAGCCTGAAATTAAATATATTGGCCAACTCCTGACAAAACAAAAAAGTTTTGTTTTGTGACTTCACACAAAGTTAGTAATATTAGCAAGAAACATCTCTGTCTCAGCAATGCAAATGGACCCAAGTCTTTTCAGGTACATATCAATAGATCTTAAGATATTTGGAGTTAATATAAACTTTTTTGCTGTCTTGAATGGGTTTTAGATCAAGCACTAATTGCCTAATCCCATCTACTTACTTTACTTGATATCTTACAAGTTGCTTGCTTCCAAAAGAAGACTCTCCTTCTTTTCTGATTCACACATAGGGTTAAAAGATTAAAAAGATTGCATGAAAGAATGTGACTACAGATATTTTGGAGCTGGAAGCTCCTATTATGTTCTTCATGCATAGTATGTTAAGCAGGCATTTTATATGGAGAGTTGAACACATTTTTGATTTCCTTTAACATTATAAATAAATCAAGTATACACTAATGTCTGTGAAATGGATAGGCTGATTGCACTAATTAAAGCCAGGACTGGGTATATAGAGTAAATGCTGTACAGGCTTCCCCAAATCTGACAATGACACTACCCCTTAATCTTCAAATGCCATATCTCTGATCCTTTTCTGTAAAAAAACATTTCTGCACAGAGCCTGCAGAGTTTAACAAAGATATGTTCCAGTATCTTTATCCCTTAATCAAACGTATTGCTCAGTGGGATACTTCAAGTGAGGAATAATTACTTTCTGGAGTAATTACTCCTATTACTATTATTCTACTTATTTTGTGTGGATGCCAAGGATAGTATTGAATAGGGAATAGATCACTCCAGATATTTAGTGCTCTCCTTCCATAGCATCCACTTTTGCCATTGTCAAGGTTAGGATACTGGGCCAGATAGACCATTAGTCTGACCTAGTATGGCACTTCTTATGTTTTTATGAGTAAGAGATGTTGGAGGAATAAAGTTCTATTAATGCTTCACATTTATTGTATAGGTAATTTCAACTTTTTTCTTTTCAGGAACCAACAGTTATATTTATGTAATAACTAAACTCTAATGAGAAAAAACACTGTCTGATTTACACCCACTGAAGAATCTGGTTTATTGGTTACAGCAAAACTAGCCAAGTGTTCAATCTTTAATCATGTGAGACATTTTTGCAGGTTCAAGAAGCTGAATTTGTTCGATTTTATACATGGGGGACAGTGCAACCTCATTAAAGTCAAGAGTTTAAGACAAATTTGAATCGTGAATCAAAGGTATTTACTTATGCCTAGGTGTTTCTAATTCTCTGCTAGGTTCTCTTTCCTCAGCTATCTTCATTTTTATAACATAGAACTATCTACTAAATAGCCATTTATTGGAAAGAATAAGATTATATGCAAATTAAAAGCTATTTGCAATCACTTGAATAAATGTATTTATGACTGTTTGTTACAATTACAATCTTTTGATTTTACTTGGCTATTTCACTATTGTATGTCATTAACCTTCATTATAGTATATACCTTGAATGTAGTATATCCTGCAATTCGCTAACAACACATCTTATGTAGATTTCCAAGACCACGAGTAAATTTTTAAGTACCACCATCATGTCCAGATTGTACGTACATAAAGAATTTCCTACCTTAGCTCATTCGCTACCCTGAAACCTTTTCTTCTTGCCAACTCCATCAAGAATCTCCGTCTGGTCACCCCCATTTTCCTCTCCATTATAAAAATGACTAATTCACTGAACTTTATTTCATAGCTCCTGGTAGAAATTGTAAGATGCATCCCTTTCTGCTTTTTCCTCTGTGGGACCAATGTTGGAGCTCTGACCCTATTCATGATGGAATTCTACTTGACTGTCTAAATATGAGCTTATATTCATTCTGCCAGCCACAATCTGCATCTGATGTCACCACCTATTGACATCATTCTCATCTGTTTCTCTTCTGAAATAAAAAACAAAAAACAAAAAAAACCCCAGAAGCATCAGTTGTTTTGAACTCACTATGAAGACTTCTCTAGAACTTACATGTGGGAAGAATTTTAACTACTACACACAGGTGCACATACACTGAAATTCACTGGGACTTAACAGGCCATTGCCTCTGAAAACTTAATCCAGAAAATATCTTTATAACAAATGATTTAACTATATTGGACCAGATTCTTCATTGGTAGAAAGTGGCATAGCTCCATTGGAATAACATTTTCAAATCATTTTCAATATCAACATTATTACCACATTTGGAAATAAGATATACAATTGACATTGCTTCCATTTTTACTTAGAAAGTATTGCTGAGAAAGAATTTAAATCCCATCTCATAATTATGGCTTGCATTGTTCTGTGCTCTTGTCATTTATCTCTAATTAACTTTGAGGGTTTGTTTTGTTTTATGTAATTTTGCCCAGTTGCTTCTTGAGTTGTATTTTTAACTTCATTAAAATGTTGATAAAAAACTTTTTTTAAAAAAACAAACTAATAAAGCATTTTAAAATAATTTCACAATAAAAATGAATTTCTGGACAATTTGATTACAAGGAAATGAATAGCAAAGCATTTGAGACTAACATATATACACTTTAAGTGTGCCAATATCTAACAAACTGTGCTTATTGCATATAGATGAGCATACTTACTGGGCAACTATCATATGTTTGATTCAACCACCTCCACTGTGACACTGTCACTCTCAACTATGATTCTCTCAATACTTTGATGAAATGTACTGATATGTCGCCAGCATAAGCCTGTCTGCACAGCATGCACAGGGGCACTGGACTTTGGACCAAATGGGGAAATGTGCCTCTACTAGGGTTGCCAACTCGAGACACATTTTTTAACTGACAATCTGCAAACTTTTTACTGATAACCAAACTTTTTTACAGGTGCATATTTTACATAATGTAAATGTAACTATTCTGCCAGGTCATGAACAAGGGTGGGTTCAAATTTAGGGTTTAATATCAACCATAGCAAAAAAAAGCTTGTTTGTCAGTAAAAAAGCTTGCAGATAGAAAAATACAAAAAAAAGCCTTGGGTTGGCAACATTGCTAGACTGCAGCAATGGTTTTACACCATGCTTCCCTCATTCCAGGGGTGCCCTACTCACCCCCACACTGTACTATCTGCCCTCATCCCATCCCCCAGCCTCCCCTCACTGGCCCCACCCCCCCCAGCACAGACCCCCAAATTTGCTATTGTCTGGAACACATCTTCTTTTCCATATTATGCTGAATGTGTTGATGTGAGTTGCACTGAAATGCAAAGTTCAGGATAAAATTCTCCCAGCTTTTTCCAACTTCCCAGGAAACATAATTTACACATCTGAATTATTGAAAACACAGATTCCACCAATTCTGCAGAATATGTCAAAAATGTCATGGTATGAACAGATCAGCAAGCAGACAAAAAAGGAACAAGAAAACAAGAAAATCCTTCCTAGCATCAGATATAATTGTTACAGTCTATTCAGTGTGCTTTGAATGGTCACTTTGTCATTCATGTGTTACAGAACAGTATTCCATAAACTGTCTCCTGTCATTGTGGTCACTACTTTAAGATAAAATTATGAAAAGAATCACTGGCACTTCCCCTAGCATTGTAGCTGCTGGCTGCATCAGCTAGTATGTCACCAATACAAAGAAAAAGTTATTATTGTTAAAATAGAAGCTAGCCATCAAAAATTAAAACACTTGCCTATGAGCTCTGGGGCCCTCCTCAGGCCATGAAAACTCAACTAAACTCATTCATTTTTTCTATAGCCTGAGGATAGCCCTATGGCCAAAATATCAGCTCTACTCCGACTTAATATTTGTAGGGATTTTATCACAAAAGATAATTTTATGGTATTTTTAAACATATTAATAGGTAAATGGAAACTATGCTTAAAGGTTACATAGAAAAGGTTTGCAGCAAAGGGAAAAAAACTACTAATCATACAGTCATTGACACTGCACAATCTGCTTCGTGGCTTCGTGTGTGTTTGCCAAACTGCTGATTGACCTGACAGCCAAGCTGTTGACAGCCATCTCCCTGTTTACCACCTTCCCAGTCTTGGTAAAATGCTTTGTTCATCTTCAAAACCTACAAGGAATAACATATTTATGAACAGATTCTTTACAAATGTTAAACAAAATTATTTTATGTTCTAATTAATTGAGTGCTCCTGATCATGCAAAGATAATTCCCCATAGCATAGCATCAAGATGCTCGTATCAGTAAAACCTTTCTGGTGCAAAAAAAATTGTTATTTCTTTATGCCCATTTAATAACTCTTGAGCCATATTATCAAAAGTATTTAGGCACTTAAAGATGCAAATAGATGCCAGGTAGGACTTTCAAAAGTGTTTAAACACATTAGTTACCTAGCTTCAATTGAAATTAATTTTGGATTTTGCTATAGCTCTTCACCTAATGCAACTAGATTTACTTTTCTTCTTTGCATGGATTTATCTAATGAGCGCAGTATTAATGTTTTGCAAAAGTCTTTGTCAGTGATCCCATTTTACCAGAGATAAGTTATAGACCTACCTAGATTATCATGTCCCTGCTGGTATAGCCCCCCTCACAGGCAATATTATTATATACATATTTTTATTGTATTCCATATGTAGAATATGTATTTGGAGTAAGCAAGAAATTATCAAGGTCAGAGTTTTATCTTTGCCAACCAGAAACAAAGAAGAAAATATTTAATTTTGATTTGTTCTCATAAATTGCTAGTTTATAAGAAGCCCTATCCATATAAAATAATTATTCAACCTTTTTCCTGAGTATATAGGAGACTTACGTTATATTAACTGATTTTACTACAGTTTTTTATCATTCAAATACCATAATTTAAATTATTCTAGTCTTCCTATATCTTTAAATATAATGTATTGCCTTGCTGACCTTGAATTGTTGCTGGGTCTGCTCCTTGCATGAAAGTAATTAGATTATTTTTAATGATTTTCAGAAGATGCATAATATAATTAAGCAAATATGGATGCAAGTTCAGTATGCCTCTCACACCAACTGTGCCTTCCAGCCACCATTCTGCAAGAAACAGTACAGCTAGAATTAGTGTATGAAAGGCAATCAAAGTAGGAGAAATAGTGTAATGGGAGACAGAGAACAAAGTTCCTTTCAAGTACTGAAATGCCCATATGTGTGCATCCATCAAGAAACTGTCATAAATGTTTGCAATTGGTTTCCAAGTCATACTAAGTGGCAAAGAAAGCATTGAAAATAAGGATGCCAATCATGGATATCTCTAAATCATGGACTTTGGAAATTTTGGGAAGGAATTCTCCTTTTACATAGATCTTTTCAGATCTGAGCTAAAGGTGGTCAGAATATGTATGAGGTGAGTATTCCTCATGGTTATACTCAAAATTTTGCATTTTCAGCAAAATAAGTGAAAATGTAATTAATACCTGTTGGTGAGTCAAATATTTCCATCTTTGGCCAAAAACTCCTAAAAAAAAAATAATTTCTTCAAGATCCTTCCCACTCCCGTGCCCCTCCCCCCATCCAAAAAAAATCCTTTAGTCAAAAAAAAATTTATGTCAAAAATTATTTTAAATGGCACTACTTTGGGCTGATGCCTATTTTCACATATATATCCTTGAAATTAGAACAAGAGTCTTGGGATATTCATATTGCTGAACATGCTTCTTTGTGGGAGCAAGCTTAATAAATACATTGTTTCCAGAAATTAGATTAGGTATATCTGTAGTTTACACATGAACATGCTGTCCACAAAACGATTTAATCATCATACTTGGAAAAGTCACTGATCCACTGACAGTTAAAAAATAACAATCACACACCATAATGCAACTCATCCACTATTCTAATATTATAAAAGCCTAAGTCTGTCTGTCTGTAATGCTTTATTCGTGCTCTGATTGGCTGTCTTGGCATTATTTTCCATTGGAGTAATTCTGTAGGGCTATTACTGTGGTAATAAAGACAACTTCATTAGGCATTTTTGTTGCAAACATTTTACAGCATAGTGGAACTGTCATTTCAGAAGAAGAGTGTCCCGTTATCTGAGTCATGGCACCATATGAAACATCTTATTTTTCACCACCCATGACTAGTGGCCTATAAACCACATAGACCACAGAACAGTTTTCTACTAAATGCAATTCCTCTTTGTATACAGTTCCTCTAGAGTGCTACACATTTCATTTCTCTTTAGGGAACAGTGGGGCAAGGTGACTCTGAAAAACATGGGATTTTTTAAATAAATTTCTTCCTTCTGGTGTTACTTCTATGCAAAAGGATGAGTAGGGCCATAAACAGAGAATGAGATGTATACAAAAGTGGTTTAGTATTTAACTGATTCTCCTACAATGTTCAATGTATTGTGATGGTGGTGCCATGGTGGTTTCAAACACCCCCAAGCCCTGGAGATCACAGCATCTGTGATCACCTGAGTACAGGTGTTTCATGCTCCCCCAAGCCTGGGGGATTCGTAACTGCTGGGATCCCCCAACCCTGGGGACTGTGTGGAGTGCCCCAGCAGCTGGGAGCCCCTCAACTGAGGGAGATTCAAGCTACAGTAGCTTGCTTTTTACTGGTGCAGGGGGAGCCTGATTCCAGGCCCCCTGTCCACTGGCAATAAGGTGCGACAGGATCTAATGTGCAATACCATAATCATGCCTTCTGCCATGCATGTGTGACATAGCAGTAGGCTCAACTGTGTGGATTGCATGTTAGATCCCATCACACCTTTACCTGTACGTGTAGAAGAGGCATCAGAAGTAGTGTAGGAGCATGCTGTTTCTGCAAAGCACAGAATTGACAGCTCAGGTCCACCTCATTTCTATATTAAAATGTGTTGCCTTGCATCTGCCATTAATTTCTGGGAATTTACTCTCTCATAAACTACATTTTAAATATTTTATGCAAAGTTTTTGGCATTCTTGTGCAAAAACAAAGAAATGTGAGATTACTTTAATACATAGTTGCAATATGCTAGTCTTCAGAGCACATGGGGAACAGAGACTGCTAACAACAGAATCTGTAGGAGTGATTTTTGTATTCTACCTCCTGATTTCTGTTTCGATAGATTTATACAGTGCTCCAGCCACCATAATAATCAAGAATTATTTCACCTTAGCTTCTTCCAGAAATGTGGCAGAAGGTTGGCTTCAAAACTTGGAAACTGAGCATTTTTTATTCCCAATCACACACACACACACACACACACAGAAATTGGAAGATCATATACCATATTTATATTTTAACCTGCCTGTAATTTATTTCTTAGGAAACTGCTGTGACTTCTTGTGTGTTTCAGCGCTGGTCCTTATTTGCTGCTGCGTGTTCTATCTGTTGTTGGTATATGATCTTCCAATGTCTCAATATTTCAAAATAAACATAAAAAAATAGAAAAAGAGTCCATCATCTCCCCTCACCCCTTTTTCTTAAGTCTTTGTGAAACATATTTGGAATCTGAAAAGACTTTCAAATGTATTTGTCCTGTGTTATACTTTTTATTCCCTAATATAAAAAAAAATGATGTGAATATAACCAAGTGTAAAATATTTAAATGAAATAAACTTTATACATTTTAATGGTTTAAAAGGCAAAAGCAGTTTTATTTTATTTTAATACCACAATTTTAGTAATCTATTTTGATTGCCACTAGGGAATGATATATAGCATTCATTATTGCCTCAAACTTCTGTTCTTAATCCAGTTCTATCTGAGTAGATTGTTAATTAGATGTAGTTGGTGTCATTGTTAAATAGGTAGCCCTAGGCTGTAACAAAGTTTTACCATTGAATTAGATTCAAAGGCTACAGATAGATTCTGGACAGGATTAGTAGCATCAGCAAATATTGTTTAAATGTACTTAACAAAAAAAACCTATTCTTGAAACCAGCATCTTTCTACTTTTCCCATTGACCAAGACTTCTGACAAAACTTACACAGCGAAATTATTCAACCAGTCTGCAAACAGAGAAGTATTATGTGGTCATGTTAAAGGGCAGGGATTTAAAATAAAGTGGACCAGAATTAAATAAAAACAAACACTGGAAAACATATTCCAAGAGTTCTCATGCATATTTAAAAATCAATTCACTTCCAGCAATATTCACACCCCTGTTTCCATGACAGCATCAGCAATTGCATTTACTCATGAGAACATTTTGGGAAAGCAACTTTGCAGAACATACTGAAGTTCTCGCATACGATCTGATAAATTTAATCGTGTAATCTGAGGATCAAGAATATTATAAATAGATATTACAATCCATAGAAAAACCACTGAACTGATACTATGCTTTGGCTGTGTTTACTTAGCTATACTATTGCATTTGGACTGTAAGATAAGGAAGGCTTAGAAGGGAAATAAACCTTGTAATTGAACTTGTCACTGAGTACATAGTACTTTTGCTGTAGAGAAGTTGCTTATAAGAATTTAGAAGTATGAAAATGACGACAAACTATAAAAGGAAAATGAACTCCCCTGGCATATAGAAAGCATGCAAGAAGAATCATACCAATGAACAGTTTGCCTGAGGATTATAGAGATTGCTGTCATTACAGCTTTAGAAAACACAATTTCTTCTAAGTCCTCAACTTAAAAGGATCAGGTGTGACTTAGGACAATATGGTCCCTAGTTCCCTATTTGCTTGAGGAGAAAAGTAGTCAGTGACAGCCCTAAATCCTGGCATAGACTACATCTATGTTTTATGACAACACAGTTTACCCACCTTGTGACACAGAATAAATCTTCCTGGAAACAGAGTACCCAGGAAACATAGCAGCCCAGGAGACAGTCTGGTTGGGGATCAGCAGG